AGGGCTGCTGCAGACGGGCAGACAGATTAGACCTGGCTACTGTTTTTTTTTTTATTACGTATTAAATCATTAAATGGGCCATATAGTGTCACTTATAAGTATAATGTTCTCGCCTCAAATGATCTTTAAACATACTTTTAATGAAAAACAGAAAAGAGAACTTTTAACTTAATCCTCTTGAGCTCTGTGAGCGCTACATTGACAGCTGCTGCTGCTGCAGTGCATGCTGGGACAGCTGTCAATTTACTTTACTCAGTAAAGAGGGAGGGGCGAGAACAACATCCGGGGACTTTGTCCGTTCTCTGTCTGCTGTTCTTGTGAATTGGAACAGTACTAGGGCTGAGGCTGATGACGTTTCACGAGTACACGAGCACATGAGAATACACAAGTACACATATTGAGAAACGGCCATTGTTCCATTTGGGATATTTAAGCTTAAAAGCATCATGGATCAAACTGCATAAGAGTTATGCTGCGAGGTGTTATTACGGAATCCTGAAATCGGTATGGACATCTAAGCTATGGCGCAGCTGCCTCCGCGGTCACCATGATAATCGCTATATATCTAAATAGTGGTGGCAGTAAGGAAGGCGCTATGTGTGCGTATATATATATATATATATATATATATTCTTTTATATAAATTTGATGAGTAGAAATACTTTTGGAAAGTTGAGACCTATTTTAAGTCTCACAGCCACAAAAATATTTTTGTCCTGTGATGGAAGGTCGAAATGCATTAAGAATATCATAAAATAAATTAAACTAACATTTCTTCCAGGCTGCCCAGTTAAGCAGAGCTGAGCCTGCCTCAAGTGGTCCTGCAGAATCCTCACAAACCTCGACCTCCATCCCATCGCCCAGCTATGCAGAAGCTGCAGAGGCCAAACCCTCTGCAAAAGAGCAACCAGCAGAAAAGCTCAGTGAGACTCTGAGTGAAACCCCCAGTAGCAGCAGCAGCGCTCCTATTGACCTTTCTACAAAGAAGAGTCCAGAACCAGAGTCCAAAACCGAGACGGGACCTATAGCAACACCTACCACTACAGCCGCTCAAGGTGCAGACTTTTTTTTCTGGATACAAACTAGTGTTCACTGTCAGTGCTACTGATTAAGGGAATAAAAGTGTAAGCTTGTTGTTTAATATTAGTGTTTTACAGTGTTTAATATTAGAAATGTGCTTCTTTGATCACAGACTCTTCTGCCTTTGGCTTCAACTCGCTCGGTGGTGGATTTTCTTTTGCTGACCTTGCCAAAAATACAGAAGGATTTGCATTTGGATCTCAAGGTTTGCTCAAACAAAACCTCTTCTTATTTTCACTTTTCTTTATATGTGTTCTCAAAAAAATCGATCATGTTTCCTACTCCACCCTAATCTAGATGCCAATTTCTCCTGGGCAAATGCTGGAGCGACTGTATTTGGGGCTACGGTGTCCTCTGAGGTTAAAAATGCTGACGGTGAGGAGGGAAGTGATGAAGAGGAGGCTTCCAACAACGCGGACATCCACTTTGAGCCAATCGTTTCCCTACCTGAGGTGCTTTAAATGATCTAGAATATTTTTACGGTTAAAATATTTAAACACGCTAATCTCTGATCTTTTTTTTTCTTCTCGGTTCTCAGGTTGAAACAAAGTCTGGAGAGGAGGACGAGGAAATCCTGTTCAAAGAGCGAGCCAAGTTGTACCGATGGGACCGTGACCTTGGGCAGTGGAAGGAGCGCGGCATCGGCGACCTGAAGATCCTCTTCCACCCAACCAAACACTTCTATCGTATCCTCATGCGAAGAGAGCAAGTGCTGAGGGTTTGTGCCAATCACACCATCTTGCAGTCGATGGAGCTCAAACCCATGAACACATCAGCCAACGCGCTTGTCTGGACCGCCACTGACTACTCAGGTACTGACACTTATTATACAGCAAGATCTTACCTTTTGTTGCATAAGGCTTATTTTCACACCAGTTTCCTAAAAGAATACCTGAGCAAGGTTTCCTTTTATAGTTTTGCTGAATAAAAAAAGCCTGTATGGGGTTGTCAGCTAGCATTATAATTAGAAAATGTAAGAGATGGATTAGCATCTTTGCCAAGTTCAGATCTGGGTTGAGGAATTTTTACAGAAGCGTTGGTTATGAAGTTGGAAGATCCTGAAATATGACTGGAAAAGCTTTTGTTTTTTTTTAGCACAATTGACCAAAAGAGCAACCCGTCATACTAGCACGCTTTAAAATTCAAAACCATATGTTCTCTGCAGGCTTGTAGGCCTTTATGCACTGGGTATTCCTTGCTCACAGTTGGGGTCAATCAGTATCCATCCACAACCCATCCCAGATGCTTTCATTGGCTGCGTTTTCATTACAAGTGTGGGCAAAACTGTCAATATTCTGTCAATTTTGGGAATGCACATGATCACAATTGCTGTATTTCGTTTAAATAAGAAATGCAACTAAAATTGCATGTGAATATGTTTGGTCACTTAACTCCTGGAAAAAAACATGGCAGTGGCAGATATAAACGCATAAAAATGTTTCCCCCGTGGCTCTACTGCTCATCAAGAACTAAATAGAAAAAATAATCTCTTTATAAATCCAAATACGCTGCACCATCATCCTCCAGCCAGCTTTAGTCTTTTTTTCTTTTTACGAAGCAGGAAGGTCTGGCTGCAGAAAAAGTGTCTCCATTTAGCAGATATATTTTTGTGATTACAAAAAGTTCATGGGAATGCAGCTACTATCTTCTAGACTAAAATTCTGCTATATATTTTTTTTTTTTTCCCCAGACGGTGAAGGTGTGGTGGAGCAGCTGGCAGCCAAGTTCAAAACAGCCGAGATAGCAGAGTCTTTTAAGAAGACCTTCTGTGAATGTCAGAACCGCCTCGAGCAAACCGGTGACGACGCTTCGTCCTCCTCAGTGCCACACATGTCCAGAGTCCAGGAGCACTCCAAAGACACTAACCCGCTGGTGTTCCTCAAAGTGGCCGCTGATGGTGAACCACTGGGCAACATCACCATTGAGCTGTTCTCACATATTGTTCCCAAGACTGCAGAGAACTTTAGGGTTCTGTGCACTGGAGAGAAAGGTTTCGGACTGAAGAACTCCATCTTCCATAGGATCATACCAGACTTCATGTGTCAGGTGAGAGAACAGAATACAAAGTATATAAAAAGCGTGGAGAACACGTCCCATGGTGTCATTCTAAATTAGTATGATCTGCAGTTTACTTACTGGGGACTTCTAAAGATCACCCATAGTTCCCTTTGCTTCTTGCATTTAGGTAGAATTGTTTTGAATCTTTATGTAGGAAGTGTATATTTATCAAATGACCAATATGCTGCTTTCTGCTGTCTTAGGGAGGTGACATCACCAAGAGTGATGGCACTGGTGGCAAATCCATCTATGGTGCCGCTTTTGAGGACGAAAACTTCGACGTCCGGCACACTGGACCCGGCATCCTGTCCATGGCAAACCGTGGACGGGACACCAACAACTCGCAGTTCTTCATAACGCTGAAGAAAGCAGAACATTTGGACTTCAAACATGTAGCGTTTGGTTTTGTTCGGGACGGGATGAATGTGGTACAGCAGATGGGACAGTTGGGCTCCAAGGGAGGACCTCCCACTAAGAAGTTGGTTATCACAGAGTGCGGCCAGCTGTAGCTGCTCCCAATGGAAGACTCTGATTTGCAGCTTTGGTGATGTTCAAAGGAAGTTGGCACACCCCTGGAAAAACACACTTCCTGGATCATAAGACTAATTCCAAGTAAAATCTACTAGATTTTTGAAATTGGGAAATTTCTCTACCAAGGAGTCATAGATTGTTGGGAGTAACCTTTTGGAGTGAATTTGGATTGTCACTGCTGTTTGCATTTCACAGATGTTTATTTTTTTGTGTGTAATATTGTAAATGTTATTCTTCTATTTTTTTGTTATTTGTCTGTTGTACCATGTTTTAATATTTTTTTTTTAACTTGAGTTTACTTTACAGTCCCCCACTGCTCCTAAATGTACCATTTTCTATAGGACACCCTGTTTATTGTTCTTGGTGTAAGTTGACTTCACAATGCAAGTAATTGGATTCAAAAATGTTTCCCCTTTAAGCGAATGGTATCCAATAGTTTTATTTTCCAGGGAGATTGAGCATCTGTATAGATGCTGAATTGAGATGACCAATAAAAGTTGCTTGTTGTAATGAAGTAATTTGCTGATAACTGAAATAAATTTGCTTTACAAAGAATGTGTGGGTCTTGCATGGCATTTATAAATGGTATTGATAAATTCATCTTGTCATGGCAAGCTGATCATTCAAAAGCATGTCTATTTAACGTTACCCTTTAGTTTGTCCATTAGTTGCCCTGGTGATTCCTTTAAGAGTAACAAACATCATGTGGCTACCTCATGAAGCTTGTTTAGACGACACAATCGAAAAGGAGAGGTAGTGCATTCTCAATCTAAAAATATACAATGGTTGATGGATCTAGAAAATAACTAAAATCCAATAAATGACAAAAGTGTCCAAGCTTTCAGCTAATAAATCGACCAAACACATGGGAACAATCAGTTGTGAAATGGAACAGAGGACATGGTTATACAAAGTAACAAATAAAACAAGCTTTTCTGTCCTGCTTCCATTCATCTAGTGCCCCTAAATGAAATCCAGTCTAACCAATAGCCTGCAGATAATAATTAGTGAGTTTGTGTCCAATCTATTTACAGTAGGCATCCCCAAAGTCAGCCCTCGAGGGCTGCTGTCCTGCAGGTTTTAGTGGTTTCCTTTCTTTAGCTCAGTTGATACTGATGATTGCAGCTCAGTGAAATCCTGTTAATCAGCAATCAATGAAAATCAGCTGTGAAGAAGCAGGGAAACTTTTAAAACCTGCAGGACAGCGGCCCTCGAGGGCTGACTTTGGGGATGCCTCATTTAGAGCATGAATTTACAGCTCATATGTGAGCTCTTTGTTAGAAACCATTACCTAACCCACTGCATCAGTGATAGGGACTATCACTGATGCAGTGGGTTAGGTAATAGAGATGGGGGGCATTATTTTCTCTTAAGCAGGGACAGTAAAGCTGGTCTGAGTTTGGAGCTGTACATGTCTAACTACATTCTGATCATAAAAATAAAATGTTAGAGGCAGGAAAGGGCTACCCAGAGTCCAAGTAATAAATAATGAATAAATGATGTTTACAGAAACTCACCATCCAGTCTGATTGCGCTTATAAAAGGCAATATTTCAGTCTTTAAATGTGCAAAAGTTTAGAGACATGTAAGTAAAGATTTGCAGCTCAAATTTCAGTAAAATATGATGCAAAATAGTGCCTGGTGATAAAATACTTTTTAGTAAAAACATCTCAATAGTAAAACTTTTCTTTCCAATTCCTAATTTTTTCACCTTATTAAATTCTAACATGATCCAAAAAGTATGCAGAATTTGAAGGGGTATGGATTATTTTGCAAAAATAAACTTTGATTGCTTAAATTCCAACTTCAGAGCATCTGTCTTGAAAAAGGGGAAATTGCAATTTAAAATTTTAACTCTGACTGTTAAAGAAAATAATTTTGACTTCTTTTCCTATTTTTATCTGTTTTGATGCCATTAAAAAAAAAAACAATTAGGAACAGTTTAGATCTCAAGTGCTAGAACATTCGCTGGAATGAACACCGTTGCAGTACCATTGTTGGCCACCGCTCCGGGGTGGCAGTAGAGCAAGTGGCCGGAGTTGAGTCATGGTGACGTCGGCAGGATGTAAATGCTGCGGCTCGCGGCCTGATCGTTCTTTTTCCTCTGCCGTGCTGTAGAAGCGGTCGGCCTTCTCTCTTTCTCTGAACCTTTTAACATCCCAACAGCAAAAATGATCATCTACAATGACATAATCACCGGTAAGTGGTCGCCAATGAAGCGTTTTCTAAGTATTTAAGTCAGGTTGCGGTTGGTGAAGTTATATTCACTTCCCTTTAGATTGTGTAGTTAGCTAAGCTAGCCGGCTAACTCGTGTGTATCGTGATTGAGAAGTTAGCGCAAAAAAAGGAAGGAGGGAAAAAAAAAATCACCGGCTATTTAAAGGGTTACTCCCTGTATTGGTCAATTGGTTCAGATAGGTGTTTTAACTACACCCATGGTTATTTCTCAAAGTTACAAGTTTGTTAGTTTTTGTAACAATGCGTCGGAAACTGTTAGCTGGACAACTTTAAACTAAACGGTTCAATTAGACGTGATCGTGGGTGCAAGTTTCAGTGAATGTGGCCTTTCAGGCTCATGTAGCTGCCTGTCTTAGCCACCAGCAGGATGGATGACTCTTAAACACAGTATGAAACCAGACTGGCTGTGTTTCAATGCTGATGGATGACGCACCCAATTGGTCTTTGCTTTGTGTTAAATGCCTCCTTTCCCAACAGGTGATGAGATGTTCTCGGACATCTACAAAATCAAAGAATCTGAAAACGGAATCTTCTACGAAGTTGAAGGAAAGGTGAGTTTAAAAAAAAAAACTAAATATATATATTTATATTTGACTATAGACCTTTAAGTTTGTTGTTTTAAAGCAGAGAAGCAACATGCAGGGTGGAGGGTTTGTCTGCTCAAAGGACTCCACCCTATAGGTTAAAGATATGTTTTGTGTAAAAATAATAAATAAGAATTACCAGGACAGGAGTCTTCAAGGTTTTCCAGGCCAATGATATAAAAAAGTCTAACCAACCAAAACTTTAGCAACCCCCATGCAATACCTCTGTGGACCCCCAGGGTTCGTGTACCCCCTTTTGGAGACCTCTGCCATAGGGCATTGGATCCCAAAGTTTGGGTCCTTGATCAACCAGAATGAGGTCTTGATACCACCATAGAAGTTAAAAAGGACAAACATTAATGTTAAAGTGATTAACCATATAGAAGCAACTGTTTTGTGGCTTTTTTTTTTTTTTTTGTAATTACATCTTTCACTAATTTATTTTTGTGGGAGGGGTTGAATACAAGCATCTGGTTTGATCCCCACAGCCTCCACTCTGGGTTCCTGAGCAAGACCATTAACCCCTGATTGCTCCCCAGATGGTGAACAATGGCAGCCCACTGCTCTCCAAAGGGATGGGTTAAAATGTGAAGAACAAATTTCCTCGTCGGACAACAAAGGGATTTGCATTTTAAACTTGATTGCAACTTGAAATGGATTATCGCCCTGTCGTACCCTATCTTTAGCTTTGATCACAAGATCAAAGATTTCCTATCCCTAATAAACAATCTTTGAGTAAGATTAACGCCATACTATATAGAAATAAAACATTTGTAGAAGCTAATTGAGATCTTGGGCCTAGATCATGAAGATTGTAGAGTCTGAGCAATGCAAAGACTTCTCCAGCTCATCCCAAAGAGTCTCAGTGGGGTAAAGGTTGATGCCATTGTTGGCATAACAATCAATATGGGGAGCAGTACCAACTGGACCCTAAACATTGACCCTCTGTTTCTGTGCTCCCGTGGGGTGTCCGCCACGCTAAAGGGCCCTCTCAAACCATAGTGGGTAGGGCGAGTGGACAATTGAGCTCTTGAAGTCATAGGGAAATCGCATTTAAATGTCAGAGCCTTCTGGCTTAAACATTAATATAAATGTATTCTTTTTTCCGACTATATTGTGCCAAAATTTAGAAAATTTCTATTTAAGAAAAAATCCTGTCTTAAAATCGGTTTTCATTCATCTTATGCGGGCCAGTTAATTATAAGTCAGCTTGTACATCTAAATTCAGCCAATCATATATCAACAGCCATCTGTCAATAAATTTTTTTCAGTCATAGCATCTTGAGTCATATGTCGCAGCTGATGTATGCAACGGTTGGAATAAGAAATAGGAATCAATTCCTTTCCCATTGAGTTCCGCCCCAGTGTTCACATGGATGGATGTCTGTCTTCGGCAGGCGTGGAGCTAGCAGAACTGGCAGCGTTGTGAGGCAAGGGCTCAAACATGCACGGCTGTAAGCCTTCACCAACCCGCTGTCCATAGCGTTCCTTGACAGTGTTGTTTATAAGTCACCAATTTAGTGCTACTTGGTCCCAATGGAATTTCCCATTGGGAACCTACTAGCACTGAGTTGCTAACTGGTTAGCAAGAGGCTTCCAACAAACTGGCCACAACCAAACTTGCTTGCAAACCTCCGCCACAACAATCCTGCCTCCTTGATAATCGACCAATCACATTCACTTTATTCACTCTTATAAAGAGTGAATAAAGTGAACCACTTGAGAGGATTTGGAAATGCAACATTTGGAACAGCTGCTTCCCTACGTTTTTAAATAGTGAGTCTAACATGCTGGAGTTCTGCAGCTGGTGTAACGGCGAACTAGTAAGTTCTGCTTGTTTGCTGCATCTTTGTCACACTGACAGAAAACCACAAGTTGATAAGAATGGAAAAAAAATATCCCTAAACTGAAGTTGGTTTAATTTGACCATATACATTTATTTTTTTAGCAGGGGACAAATGTTTGTCGTTTCAACCTGCCCCAGCCATGCACATGTGATAGCACTGTGTTGCCAAGGTAACAGCTGCTTTCCTTTTCCAGTGAAGCAAAGAGTGTCTCTTTAGTACAGGAATCTCCACTTTTTGCGTTGGAAGTTGATAAAGTTTTAATTGTGGTGGAAAAAATGGAATCCGACTGCAGGCCACCTCCTCAGCGTTGCTTTCTGAGAAAGGATGACCTCTGACCCTAGTTGGCCTTTCACTGTTTTTGTTCGCTTCTGTCAGTGAGCCCCAAAGCAGCTGTGGCTACAATGTAGCTTGCCACCATCAGTGTGTGTGAATGGATGAATCACTGAATGTAGTGTAAAGCGCTTTGGTCAAGTCTCTACTTGAAAAAGCGCTATATGAGTACAGGCCATTTATCATTTTGTTCCTCGGGTTTAATGTCATTTTTTCTAACCTTGATTGGTTCCACCTTTCCCAGACCGTGTCGAGGAAAGAGGGGTTTGATGACGCTTTGATCGGAGCCAACGCCTCAGCTGAGGAGGTGACCGAAGGCACAGAGGATTGCGTAATCTCTGGTGTGGATATTGTTCTCAACCACCATCTGCAGGAGACCAGCTTTGATAAGAAGAGCTACATGGCTTACATCAAGGATTACGTGAAGGCGTGAGTATGCCAGTGTTTCTCCTGTAATTCATCTAAATGTGAGCCCTGCATAGCTTTTAAAGTGCTGATTGTTGGAAGATGCCGTTTGCATGTCTAGGATCAAGGCCAAGCTGCAAGAGTCCAACCCTTCAAGAGTGGACCAGTTCATGGCTGATGTCCAACCAGAAGTTAAGAAGATCCTGGGAAACATTAAGAACTACCAGGTAGCAACAGATGAATTAAGAACAAACTTTTTATTGACATACTGTCTTGGTTATGCTTCACTGAGGCTTTTTATTTTTTTTTTTTAAGTTTTACACAGGAGAGTCCATGAACCCAGAGGGCATGATTGGCCTGCTGGACTACCGTGAGGATGGAGTGACACCATTCATGCTTTTCTTCAAGGATGGCCTGGTGGCTGAGAAATGCGTACGTTTTTAGTCCTAATGCTTCACTAACACGTCTCATTAACTGGACAGAAACTGACCTGCCTTTATTTTTTTCCTTTTCTACAGTAACTACCCGGATGTATATCTGCTGTTCAATTGACTGCTGATCCCCCAAAACGCAGACTTGAAGGAGCGTTCTTTTTTTGCATCGTGCCTGGATGGACATTTGGGCTGAAGCACCAGTTATCTACGGGGAATCTTCTGCCATTCTCACCAAATACAATTTTTAACTTTTTTTTTTTTTCTTTCTGCAGTATTCGGTTTTCTTTTCAGGACAGGGCTCATGTTAAAAAGGACAGAAAGAGAAGCTTGTGAGACTGACTGCAAAGCAGTTGTTTTAGCAGCAATCCATACGGTTGAACATCCACAGCCGTCATCGTGCTTGGGTTTATGGTTGTGTTAAACTAGTCCATCTTCAATGCAAAGACTTCAGGTTCAATTTGAAAATAAAGTACCTCTACTTTAAGTTTCTCTTCTGCTTGTTTTGTTTAATGGGGAAAAATCAACTTGGTTTACTGTAAACCTGCTTTGTGAAACAGACCCAAGTTTCCTAAACTTGAAAACTGAGTTTTCCTTTTCCTCAAGTCAGTCTCCCACAATATGATAAATGGATCCACTACTGTTCAAGCAGTAAACTAGTTTTGCCCCTTTAATGTTATCATGGTTAAAAGAATATGGCAGGCTGTTTAGGTATTAGTTTGTCTGAAATGTGTTTCTCAACAAAAAATATACTTCTGGATTTGGAGAGATCCCCATATTCCTATAGTTACTGGTTGTAATTTGTATTTAGATCAGAACTTAAAACTCAGTTTGCAAACTTGGGTTAGTTCAATTCAGTGTTTAGGATTTCAGTCGGAATTTATTAAACCTCCTTTGTGAAATGGGCCTTATGATTTTTGTTAAGGTTTATTTAAAAAAAACGAACTTCAGTTTCTGTCAACATTTTAATTCTCCATGATTTGATAAATGAAAAGGAAAAACTTATCCTGGATCTTGGAGGCTGTCCAGAGGATAAGGAGCTGAAGAGGACAATGTTCAAGCTGATCTGCCTCAATGCCAAACTGCATTATATGTAGGGCCAGAAACTGAACACTACATTGAAACCTTTGAGTAGTTTAAAAAAAAAAATCCTTTAAGCTGCTCAAACTGGGAAGATACATTTTAGACTAAGACTTGATCAAAATTGCTGAGCTTACTGTATGTATATTTAATGCATGATAGCAGGGGAAATCCAAGCTGATGGAAAAATATCTTCAGGTTTAAGTTCTTAAATCTGTAGTTATCCATATGGTAGGTA